CACAGTCTTAATTATATCCCTCTTTCACTAAAATTTTAATCTTTATGCTGTTCTTAACTTCTCTGCAGAGATTTCTTTTTCTGACCAGGAAAGTAGATAGTTAATCAGTCAGTCAAAGCTGATGTTGGTCAAAGACCCTTTTAGAAAACTGGGTAGGTATTTCCTTGTCCATCTCTGGGCAGATTGTTCAAGCCCCACAACAGAGTCATGAGGAATATTTTGAAGAAAGGATACCAGTTTGAAACAGCACTAAGAAAGGAGAAAGGAAAAAAAAAAGGTCTGTTATGTCTTTCTGAACAGAGAACGCTTTCAGAAACTTTGCACCTGCCTGCAAACCTTTGAAGGTTCTTACCAGTTCCGCAGCTGTCACTCTTGCTGGAAACTTTCACTTCACTGCTGGGAGTGATGATAGAGTAGAAAAGTGAAATCTTTCTGTATGAGGCTCAATCATTGTGGGGACAGGGGGCACAATGATTCATTTCGTGGAGAGCCCTTTACAAAAACCTTGCCTTGCCTTGCTTACCAAATAGGATTTTGCTAGAATTGCCATAGTAGATTGCACAATACAGAGCTGTATGGCTTTTGGGGGGGGGGGCAAGATCTCTGTCCCTTATGGCAGATTATGTCTCCTACACATACAATCCAAAGTATGGATCAGTGGTGGCATTCGACCAGTTCTGCCCGGTTCTGGAGAGCCGGTAGCGATGATGAGCAGCGGAGATGGAACCGGTTCTCTCCGCTGCTCTGTGTTTGGCCCACCCGCCTGCCTGGCCTCCCATACTCACTTTTATGGCCAGAATTCAAAGCGCAGCTGCTTTGGGCGGTGCAGAATAGCACCGCGTGGCAGCTGCTGCAGTGACCGGCATCGTGCAGGCTTGCAGGAGGCGAGTTAGAATGCCTCTGCGCCTGCGCAAAGTGCACGTTTGGCACACGCATGCATGCAAAGTGTGCATGTGTGCACAGCGCACCCACCAAGCCACGCCCACTGAACCGGTAGCAACTTCATTTGAATACTACCACTGGTATGGATCCAGTATGTAGATGACACCTTTGTTATAATAACAAAGGACCATCAACATATACAAAGGAATAAAATTCACAAGAGAAGAAGAAGACAACAACCTTTCCTGGATATTCACATCAACGGAGACAGTGATGGCAAACTATAAACACAAGTCTATCAAAAAGCTACACACACACACCTACCAAGTGCTCCACAAACAATGTAACAGTCCAACCTATCATAAAAGAAACTGTGTCAGAACACTATTTAGATGAACACAAACTCACTGCACCAACCCCGAACATCAGAAAAAAGGAAACAGATTATCTATACATCTTTCAACAAAATGGATATCCATGCAACTTCATCCAAAAGTGCCTGATCGTTCAACCCAATATAGCACAACCAACATGAGGTGTGAAAAGGATAACACCACAATATACCAAAAACATTTCAGAAATCACCAACAGACTATTACAACCACACGGTACCATAGCTAAAGCCCTCCAAAACATACTAAATAAACCAAAAGACCCAACAGCCCCAGAAGAAAAAACAGGAGTCATTTACAACATATAGTATAAGGGTTGCAAGAGCCACTATGCAGGATGAGCAGGCAGAAGACTAGCACAGTGCATTCATGAACTCTAACTAGCAGTCAGAAGATATGGTGAAAACTCCTTAATTTCCACAACACATGGACAGACTTAATCATAGTTTCAACTGGGAAATAGTGACCATCTTCAGCCAAGCCAAGTCCAAAAATGCTAGAGAATTCCTGGAAGCCTGGCACTCTGACAAATTGACCATCAACAGGCACATAGACATAAACAACCAATACATACCATTCAAAAGAGACAATCAACAATCCAAAAAGGAACAAAAAGATCAAAAAGCCTCCTGACCAGCCATTAACATCCAGATGAGCAGAGATTAACACCAAGATTAGCATTAGACTAACAATCAAAAAGTAAGCCTCATTCCAGTCAAGGAACTGCCAGACAAGCTAACAATAAACAGCCCAACAAAGAACCATCAAGTTCACTCCCACCAATACTGACAGGACAAGCTACTAGAATATAAAATGAGAGCCAATTCCTCTTCCTACTAGCGCTGATGATGTTATCTAGTTTGGGTAATGAAAGATCTGCAAGAAAACAACCAAGCTCAGAGAGCACCAAGGACCTCTCATTTTATCCCTTAGCTACAACTATTCTCCTCTAATGGGACATTAATTGAGCCCGGAATTATGGTTGTAACTTATGCTGGTTGTTAAACAGGTTATCATGTGACTAACCTGATTTTACAACTTTGTTTGCAGTAGACATTAAGTGAATCACAACGGTTGTTAAATGAATCTGCAGTTATTAAGCAAATTTAATGACTGCATTGTGAACCTACTGTCCACAATGGGCATTTTTTTTTTGCCAAAAACCAAAAAAAATATGCCAGTTTCCAGCAAAAACAATGCAATAAGTTGCATCCACATGACCGCAGAATCCTGCAAACAGCCATGACTGTTGCCTGGTTGCTGAGTGCCCAAAATGTGATCGGGTGACAATGGGAAAGCAGTTGTTAGAACTTCAAATCTGGGTCATAAATACCTTTTTTGTGTCCATCATAACTTTGAATGGTCACAAGTCAAGCAATATTTGAACATGAGTATATAAACATACGATCTAGCAGGCAAAGGAAAAAAGTATAAAATATGGCGGGGGGAAGGATCATGTTCTTTAATGGTGGTAGAGGATTATGTGGACAATATGTGCTAGTGAATAATTAGTCTCTAAACAGCAGAAGCAGCAGCAGCAAGGCACTGAACCTATTCCCCATTCAAAAGGATTTTTAAAAAATGCTTGTTGGCCAAATAGCAATAGCACTATACTGCTTCACAGTGCTTTACAGCCCTCTCTAAGCCGTTTACAGAGTCAGCATATTGCCCCCAACAACCTGATCCTCATTTTACCGTCTTCAGAAGGATGGAAGGCTGAATCATCAGGACCAAACTCCAGACTATGGGCAGAGTTAGCCTGCAATACTGCATTCTAACCACTGCGCCACCATGGCTCTTAGGGAATAGCATCTTCTCCTTTTCTGACTCAATTTCATAGAAGAGGATTGTTAGATCTGCACAGTTGCCACTATAGAGAAGGCAAGGCAATAGCAGGAGTGTGACTATCTCAATATCACTAGCATATTTGGTCTCAATCCATATTTCCTTTCCAAAACACTGAAAGCTAAGTATTAAAACTTTCCATGAGAAGGATCAGAGATGTGGCAAGTGGAACATGTTTAAGATGTGGTTGGAGTGAGTCTTTGACCCTGCTTTGGTCATTATTCTGAATTTCCACACTGGGTACGTGTACATGTTGGAGACAAATAATAACTGTAGGAATCAATAATTTGGTAAAAGACCAAACAACATTTTTCTTGAAACTTGATTCAAGGGATAGTGTTGGATAAGAAGGGATACATGCAAGGTCTGTTTAAAATATAAACAGAAAAAATAGGTATATAAAGCAATAATGGCCCCTACGGCTTTCACAGGGAAGATTCTACTTCATCAAGAGCAGACAAGTTATCCAAATAGTGTTTCCAGAGGAGATTTTTAATACATAACCTTCCTGTCTCATTTATAACTTTTCCAGGCAATCCAGATACATTTGGATCTCTTTTATATTTTATTTCATTTCTTTTGTATATTTTAACAGACAAAATTTGTTTGGGAAGAAAAGAGGAAATAGCTGTACAGAAACTTTAGAGGGCCTGGAACTATGCCAGGTTGGCATGATAGATACACTCAGTGATATATAAAGAGACAAAAGAAAACTTTATAAACACAATGACCAGAAGATCGGGAAATGAAAAAGAAAAAGTAGCAATTGTACCATATAAAATTTGTCATAGTCAGCCTTATATTTAATTTAATTTGGGGGCCATTTTGTGCTTGCCTGTATGAATGTATATGTGATTTGCAGTTAATAATGTAAGTATTTTATGAAGTAGGTTTTGCTCCAAGATGATACAATTTGTCTCTAAAATGCCTCGGGTTTTGTTTTTTTTTGCAATTTTGGAACAACAGACCAACACCGCTGCCCCTCTGGAATGTGGCTCTTTGGTTTGCCAGATATTTTCTTCACATTCATCTTAGGAAAAAGGAGAAAAGATCAATAGATTTAGTTGAAATTAGTCAAGATTAGGAGAATAAATAATGAGGTTCTAGAGACAGAAGACAAGAAAAATCACCCAGAGGGAGAACCTGAACTGACAGTGACCTCTGATTTAGTTCATTTTTCCTCATTAAAAGATAAAAAGTCCCAATGTTTTCCAAAAAGTTTGTTCATTTATGCACTTATCTTGTGTGTTAATGAGAGATGATTCACACACTAGTGAATTTGTCTCAAGCTGATAAGCTCTCTGGGATATTCTTGTAATGCTCTTCAATACTGTGTCAAACACATTGCTGTACTTTGGCCAGGGAACTAGACTGACAGTGTTAGGTAAGTTCATCAAAGATTGTTTTGTGAGGTTTTCTTGCCTTAAATACATGAGATTAGCGGGAGTGTGTTTTCGCTTGCTTAGAAAAACTTTAACTTTTTATAATTGTACACCCCAAGTTAAAAATGATAACTGTTTTCTAAAAGAAAATAAATAAATACATTTTAGTGATCACCAAGATCCACCCTGATGATAAGATTATACATAAGTATTAATTTTAATTAAGTATTGAATATCCTGGATGCATATAATTAGAAAGTTCTAGTTTTTCTATGTGGATACTTTGAAATGGAGCAAAGCAGAGCCTTGCTTGTTGTTGTTTTTTCCTATTTCTCCTCCTTTGCATGTCAACTGACAACTGAATGCCATTTGGGATGTGAGGGTGCATTCAAACTATAGTTGGAGAGGGAGGGAGGGAGAGAGAGAGAGAGAGAGAGAGAGAAACCTCAACCAGAATTACCATTTATTTTATGTGGTGATTTCATCACTGTGTACATATGCTGAGCTGCACTTTGGAAAAGGAACTCAATTTACAGTACTTGGTAAGACAAAATCCATAGCTTATTATTACAAGCAAGACTGAATTTCTTAAAATGTTAATGTATCAATCCTTGATCTAGAATGAAGAAACCCATGTAACTGACACTCTAAACACATATGGCTGAAGTACAGATTACTTCCAACATTCATCCCTCCTCATAAAATGTGTTGTCATGAACATCTCTTTTGGCTTTCCTTGACCATTATGGCATCTATTGCTTGAGAAGAATCCATCATGCATGTTAGAATATGTAGGTCTCTTTCTCTCCTTCAGTCCCATGAAAATCTGTTGGGTTTCTATAATTTGTTTCAGGAGGAAAGATTGTTAGCAAATTTCACATAAATAACCTTTTGACTGAGTCTGACTAGTAAAAATAAGCAGAAAGTTTAATTTATTTATTTTATTGATTTAAAACATTTACATAGCCACCCATCTTTCAGTCAACTCTGGGCAGCCCTCAATCAAAAATTAAAAGAATATAAAATCATATTAAAGCTATAAAACTCAACTGATTAAAACATTAATGTTCTATGTTCTCTGTTGGAATTGATTGCCAACATCTATCTCTTCATATTTATCAATAGGTCTCTTGGCAATTGTTTATTGAATATTAGATATAATTAGGGCTACTTCAACACAAATTATGCCAATCTTCTATAAAAGTGAGACAGAAGAGATTGAAAGCTTGGGGAGATTTAAGTTGAATCCTTTCTTATTTGTGTTTTACTCTTTCCCTAATTAAATCATTTCTATTTATAAAGTCCTGGCCACTAGAGAAAACAACGGATTGAGAAAAATTACTGATGGGTAAACCAAAAATCTGTGTAAAGGAAGAATTTGATCACTGCTTTTCATGTTGCACCTACAATTTTCCCCGCATTAACCCTCATTTTGCAGTGATCAGTCAGTTGATAGATTCACTGCTGCCACATCTAGTTTAGCCTGAACATTTATGATGTGTTAAGAAAATTCTATAAATTGGGTATGGTCCATTTCATATTCTGTTTGTGTCCATCCCCTGTTTCTGTCTTGCTATGACCCATACCTGCACACATACACCCGATACACAGAAGTCACACTGGATGTTTAGTCAACAAGTGATGGTCAAACACATTTATGAATCAAACATCCCACTCCTCATAATTTCAGTTTTTACATAAGAGCAAATTCATGCTCGTACAGATGACGGTTATGACTTCTGCTTTGTTGGCTTTCGGCCTCAAAGCATGAAAAAGATTCTTAGGAAACAGATGGCTTTAGATAACAACGTGCTCCTTAACTAAATATCCGTGACAAATCAAGAGGAAACAAAAGTTTATGCCTTCTAGCAGCGAGCCTTAGACCTTCTCTTTCTGCATTGGAAAAACTAAGACCAAGGGGCAGAAGGAACCAACTTTGATGGAACAGCTTTCTAATTGTAACCGACAGAATAGGACGAAGAAAAACCTATCAGTTTCTTTGTGGATAATCCAGAGGGAAATTTATTTCATGTCCTTTCCAGCTGTGCAATACTAAGCAGACCTACTTTGGAGAAGGGACCAAGCTGAATGCTTGGGGTAAGGAAATCGAATGGAAACTGGTAGAAATGTGCTGAAAAAACATGGCTCTGTATTGCTATAGAAATGGAGATAGCATAGATTATACATGCTAATATTGGCAGAGATCAAAAGGCAAAGTCCTTAAAGACTGGGGAAAATAAAAGGAGAGAGGGAGAAGGAGAAGTTGTAAATGTGTCAACTTTAATAAACCAATGGTTCAACGTGGACAGCCAAAGATGAATATGAACAGCATGTGGATTTTTTTTTTCCAGAAGCCTTCCTGCTCGTCTCTGTCAGCTCATTAGTCAAGGATAGCTCTAATCACTGTGATAAGATCTTTTGAAAAAATGGCCCTGATGACTTCCATGCTCTCCTGCTGCTCCTTACAGGAAATCACACTGTTTCTATGAAGATCACTAGGAATGGTAGAGTGCTTTGACCCAGACATGCCATCCCTAAGTACAAAATTCCCCATTTAATTTCTCAGTTCAGCTCTCCCTCCTCGTATGTCCATCAATATTTGAAGGATATAAATACAGCATGTACACAATTGCACCCAAAAGTGTAAGAATTGGATCAGAGTTCAATTTAGCCGAAAGGTGCTTTCTCCCCAGAGAAAAAGTTGCTGCTCGTGCACATGGGTGACTTTTTCTCTGAGCTGAAGCATCTTTTTTAGTAATAGGATTTCATGCTGTGGATAAATTCTGAACTGAACTTTGGCCCAGGGACTCGAGTATCTGTATTAGGTAAGTTATATGCTGTGGGGTCTTATGTGGATTGAATGATTCTTTGCTATGGAAGCTAGGCACAACACGTAGGATCTTAGGAAGCAACTCCTATGTGAAAATTAAGGAGGGGGACAGCATGGTGGGTTATGCAGTGGACTTAAGAAATGTGACTTTGATTCATTGATAGATTGTAGTATTTCACCTCAGCCTGCCTTACAAGGGTGTATTGAGAGTAACATGGAGATATATGTATTCCTTTGAACTCCTTATATAAAGGATTCTCCTTGTAAAATACAGATCAATAATTTGTATGCTAAGACTGTCACCATGAGATTTACGTGAGGTGACTAGATGAAACAGAAAAGCCTAGAAATCTCTTTCATACCATCTTCCTTGGCTGTATGAAATGTATAAGAATTCAATACCAAGAATCATGGACGCTTTCTGATGGCCACCGCAGTACTGTTTTTATGATTGTGTAGATCTATTGCTTATTATTTTTCTTTTAGTCAAACAAATTAGTCAGACAATAGAAAATGTGAACAGATGAAAGAATTATCTAATATAGGGCAATTGGTACTGTGAGGGGTACTTATAATTATTATATTAATGGCAATAAATTGGCTAGGTGTTAGTTTATTCAACAATTGAATTTATAACATGCATGCTTTTGGTTCAGATGCCTGCACCTGTTAACAATAAAAAACAAATGTTCATTGATAAACTCTAATGTTCAGACAAAATCTATCAATGTTATATAAAATCTATAAATAAAGAGCAAGCAAAGAGCAAGCGTAACTTCCAACGTAAACATATCAAGATAATATCTAAAAGTTCATTTCAATTCTTCAGCTTTGGATGTTGCTTTTAGACTCACTGCAATGTTCAGAAACAGGATGGATAGTTAATAAACAGGAGACATTCCTTCAACATAGCAGTTCCTAAAGGTTTCATTTATAGGACAGACATGTTGTGTGTCTCTGACAAACTCAATTTTGGACAAGGAACCAGACTGACAGTACTAGGTAAGATCTATGAGAATAAAGGAGATCTGAAGCAATTATTTAGCATATCCATCAAGATAATATGGTGTAGGGCTAAGGAAACTGGTATCTTTCAGGTGTTTTGTACCCTGGTTTCTATTAGTTCCAGCCAATATGCCCAGTGAAGAGATGAATCCATTTATCTTCAAATAACAACAATATTGCAAATCAGAGTTTTGGTCAGAGAATGGAACCATTCTAATACAACCACAAAGCTTTTTGAGTGAGATGTTTGTTATGATACATGGAAAACACATTGTGTATCAATGAGAAGCTGCACTTTGGTCAAGGAACCAGGCTTACTGTTCTAGGTAAGGTTGAAATTAAGGGCAAAAGAAACTTGTATGGCGTACATTTCAAGGGCCAGTTTGCAATTGTAGTTATCCTACAGTAGCAATGTTTCATAAGGTAGGAAAATATGACTTTTTAAAAACTTTTATAACCTTGGATCTGAGGCTTGTAGTCCTCCCTGAGGCTTGAAATGCAGCATGCTAGTCTCTGAACACCTGGATGATGCTAAAGAGATTATATTATAGAAAGGCAGCAGAAAAAAAAATGCTGTTTTAAATGATGGATGTCAAGTTCTTTTGCATTTCTCAAAGTTTTTCAGTCTCAGTTCAGAAGAGTTTCAAAACTCTTGGTCATTTTTATTGGTATTCTCAGAAACTGTTTTCAGATAGTCTGTAATGCAGCGCCAAGAACTGGATGTAATAATTAAGGTAAGGTCTGACCAAAGCAGAATAAAGTTTAGTTATTATTTCCTGTGACTTGGAATGAAAATTTTTGTTGAGACAGCCTTTTCCTCAGCCAGGCATCTTATCCCATAAGGGAAAATTAAATGATTTATCTACCTGTAGATTCACTGCTACTAGTCCCTATCAAAAATGTATTCCCTTTGTAAGGAGAAACCTGTAACTCCTAGATTGCAAACTTTGGACCCTTCCTTATTCAGTAAAGCCATAAAGGCATATAGGGCAAGGGAACCAGTCCTTGATTATATGGTCTACATTCTCTGGTCCTAAAAACTGGTGTTATTTAATTATGTGGGCGGGATAGTGTGGATATACCAAAGATGCTTTTTCAAAAGGCAACTGGACTTTGTTTTTCCTTGAAGATGTTTCGCTTCTCATCCAAGAAGCTTCTTCAGTTCTGACTGAATGGTAGGCAATGGAAGGATTTATATTCCTTGCAGTCATCTGATTGTTAGCACTCTTTTTGAGAGTTGTTGAGGCCACTTGGAGGTTTATCTGTACAGTTGTCTTTTGAGAAAACATCTTTGGGACAACCATGACCTGGATGAATAAGAATCTCAGACAGATAGTGTGGATACTTTCACAGATCAAACTGCCTTAACTATAAAAACTAAGCCCATATTTGTCTCTGTGGGAAAACCCCATTTTGAAGGGTGGCATATAAACTCAGAGAAGGCCAGGTCTGCTGTAATAGTTAAGGCATCAGGTTAGAAAGTGGGATGCCCTGAGTTTAAGCCCTTGCTTAGGCATGAAGAGAGCTGGGGGATATTCTCTTTCAGCCCTGGGAAGGAGCCAATGACACACTTCTTCTGAAAACCTGCCAAGAAAACCGCAGGGACTTGTTCAGATGGTTGCCAGGAGTCAAAACTGGCTCAAAATATAAATAAATAAATAAACAATAAAGAAGCAAGCAAGCAAACAAGCAAACATGAAGTTCTACCATTCTCTGAGTATAGATTTGAATACCAAGGCTTGAATTATGCTTGTACGGTTGGGGCTGCAGGTGACACAGAGACAATACCTGAATTCCTTCCTTCACTTTTCTTCTGATTCTCCACATGCCATCACTGTAAGATTGATTTGTTGGTGCATGTATGATATTTAGCCTCTCTTTCTTGATTCTCAACTTTTAATGGCTGGCATCTGAATGAGCTTATTCTTCTGAAACAGCCTGTGCTTAAATAAGACAGAGCCAGCAATATTACTTCATGATGCACTTGGCAAGCTGACATATGTAGGTCAACCATAGCTTGACCTACATCTTTTTCATTATATGCTGCTTTATCTTCCAGAAAAGGGACACATTATCACACCCCCAACTGTGACCGTATTTTCTCCATCCAAAAGAGAATTGGAAAAGAAGCAGAAAGTTACAATTGTGTGTTTGGCTACTGATTTCTATCCAGATCATGTCATTCTTACATGGTCCCTAAATAACAAGGATATAATAGAGGGAATAAAGACAGAGGAGCCCAAATACGAAAATAAGAAATATTCACTGATCAGCCGTTTAAGAATCCCTGGGAACCAGTGGCAGAATTCAGAAAACAATTTCAAGTGCAAAGTCGATTTCTACAATTCTTCCGAAAGCATAAGTTACGAAGCTTCCATAACTGGAGAAGGTGGGTAAAAGGAAGACTAAGTTCCACTTTCTGGGGCTTTTCTGAACTTTGCTAGAAATTGTCCGTATACTGTCCTTGTGAGCATTTTAAAATATATTTTGCTGAACAAAAGTACAAATATTAGCAAACATTTTCATGATCAATTCCTAGACAAGTGTGATAGCTTACGCTAAATCTTTTTGTACTGATTCATTCCCTCATAATGAACTGTCTCTCTTTTTCTCTCTCAGCTGTATTTGTCTATTTGCAAAATTTGATAATTTTCTGATGTGTGTCTAAGAGTTTCTGATACAGCCATGACTCAGGCAAAATGTCAGAACTTAGCAAAGTTCTTTTACTATTTTTCCATTTTTATTATCTCTTAAAAATATTTACATGTTACCTCTAATCAGAACAGTGTCTTTAAGGAGTGGATTTTTGAGCCTTGCTTTAGTAACATTGCCTTTAAATCTTAGAATGTACCTACCTAATATTAAATTGATAGAACACACACACTTTATAAATTATATATTTCTAATAATCTTGAACACAAATTTTCTCCATTTTTTATTTTTTTTATTCTTTGTGTTGGATTTATTAGTTGTAATAGAAATGATGACAATGATGATGAAATATACCTAATGAGGATTTTCCTCCTTCTGTTTTTAGAATGTGATAGCAAGACCTCCACAAATGGTAAGTCGAGTTTAGTCTGTTGATTCCGAATGTATATTACACAGAATCTTCAACTTTCTCCAGGACTCCTAAGTATAAATGAGCTTTGAATTAAGTGTGGCAAAATTCAACATGTTACATTCCTGAGAAATACATTTAATTTTTGCAAATTATTTGAATATATCTGAGAAATTAAACCCATTTGTATGTAGATCTGATTTCAGTATCACTGAGGATTTTTCTGTCTTCAGGAAAAACAAAATCCTACCTTTAAAATACAGCAACAAGCCTACATTTTTAAAAGTTATTTTGACATACTTGGGCAGATGGAATACAAATTACTACTATTTGGGATGGTGATAGGAGAAGCAACAGCAATGGTTTATTTCCTTTAAACAGTTTGCTTTTAAAAAAAACAACCAACAAGCAAATTCTCTCACATTTTAAAACAGAAGCAAAGAGAGTGCCCATTAGACCAGATATGCAATCACTTTTCCTCTTCTTGGTTCCAGTTGTGTGTTTGCACAAGAAAAACATAGGGTTTGGAAAGGTGGGGACAAGAGTGAGATGACAGGCTGTCAATTCAATAAAAGCAAATCAAAACAATTCACCCTCCCACACACCTAAAAAAGAAACCTGGGAGAAGGAAAGTTTTGGTCCTTCCCTACAGCTTCTGCCCACAGAATATCTTTCTCAAAGGATTTTTTCCCCTCTCTCTTTAAAAAAAGGGTAATATTCCAATACTAAGCATTTAACTATATTGCATGTGTGTGTGTGTGTGTGTGTGTGTGTATGTATGTATGTATGTATGTATGTATGTATGTATGTATACATATATGTAGATATATACACACACACACACACACTCACATACTTCTCATATTGTTATTTTTCCCTATTTTTCCGTCACATTTAGAATCGTATCTCAGACAAGCCAATCTTGGAAAACTGGTGTATATTCTTCTCATTTTCAAGAGTGCCTTGTATGGGGCATTTATAATGCATTTGAAAATAAGAAAAAAGGTAATGTGCCATGTGTGTTCTTTATATCCAGGTTTATCCAGTTCCTGGCAAAAATGCATTGTATTTGTTATCCTGTCCTTAACAATATCCCTGTCCATTGTTTGCAGACTCCTACAATCTTTCCCTTCAACTGAGTTAAAATGTTCCTCTCATCTACCCTTGAAGTGGCAGAACATGATTGCCAATCTCGATTCTGCCTCAGTTCCCAATCATTGTCAGTCCCTTGATTTTCCTCCCTGGTAATTGAGTATAACCTGACTTTGGATGGAGGTTAAGAGGGTGTTTGCCTTACTCATTTGTGCTGAGGAGGATATGAAGGCAAATCATGGGGGCATGGCAGTAAAAACAAAGCTGCTGTGTGAGCTTTTAACACGGTTAGGTGAAAGGGATGGGAGGAAAAGTCCTTAATTAGAGTAATCTAAATAAGACAATGGATATATGACCCAATTCCCTCATGGCAATCTGGACAATAGCATCCATAAAGAACCTAAATCTTGGATGACTAGCACAAAGAGGGAAAATTTATTTCACCATAGTCATGGTCTGCTTAGGCAGGCTTTTGGACATCTTCAGAACTTTGGCTGTTGTCTGTCAAGTCCTGGTTTGCCCTTGCTTCCTTGCCAACTCCCAGTTTCTAGCCTGATGCCTTAACAACTACATCAAACTGGCTCTTGAAATCTATCCAATTTATTATTACTTAAAATGTTATGGCCTCCAATCCATTTCATTGGATGCAGGGAGTATTATCAGGGTTCTAGTCTAACATTTCTGAAATGAACTGTTATTTATGATAGTTATAATCAATTGGTTCCACCAGACTCTGATATGGTTCCCTATAGGCATAAGACATTTCTAACAAATATCTTTGTGTATCACTGATATACAAAGTTGTATAAGTAACTCTGGAAAGTAAATCCAAACTATATGCTATCATAATCTAAATCATGTTCAGAACGGATATTGAAAAGTAAAGTTCTTCTACCTTAAACAAATTTATGGAATCAACTATCCAAGATCTGCTAGAAGTTGGAACTGAATTGGAGGAGAGGACTCATCATGTAAGAAAAGACAGTTTGTCCAGTTTCTTCCAACATTTTCCCTTTCACTATGGGAATTCTGTAGTCTGCATCTGGGCTCTTTAATCAAAGAGAAGTCATGTATGAAATGTGCCCCTGGGCCTTTAATAGTTGCTCTGGTGTCAAGAGATAGCACAGTAACAGCATAACAAGATTGTATTGGACCTTGAAGGTCTTCTACTAGTTCCACCCCCTGCTTAAACTCTATACTATTTTAGACAAATGGTTATCCAATCTCTTCTTAAAAACCTCTGTTGTTGGAGCATTCACAACTTCTGGAGGCAATTTGTTCCACTGATTAATTGTTCTAACAGTCAGGAAATTTCTTCTTAGTACTAGATTAGTCTTCTCCTTGCTTAGTTCCCATCCATTGCTTCCTGTCCTGTCTTCAGGTACTTTGGAGAATAGGTTGATCCCCTCTTCCTTGTGGCAGCCCCTTAGATATTGGAACTCTGCTATCATGTCACCCCTAGTTCTTCTTTCCACTAAACTAGACATACCCAATTCCTGCAACCATTCTTCTTATATTTTATCCTCCAATCCCCAAATCATCTTTGTTGCTCTTCTGTGCACTCCTTCTAGAGTCTCAACATATTTTTATAACATGGCAATAATAAAAAAGAGAAGGTATTTAATCCAGGATTAATTAGTTGCCTTGTTTCCTTTTTTTCAGTCCTGTGGCAATTGATACAACAAAAGCCTTTTACCTGGAAACATCACGCCTGAGTTGAATGAATGCTGGACAGAGAAGAAGAATGATTCTTGCCTTTAAAGTCCAAAGTGGCATTCTGATTCTTTTTTTTTTTTAAATAAAAAATGTTTGGTTGTTCCCACCCTTATATTATTGTTCTTGTTACTATCTCTGTAGGAACATTCATAGCATTTCATGTCTCTCTGTTGTTGTTTTTTTAATTTTAACCATGTTTACATGGAAGGAAATATGCATAGAATTGCAGCTTTACACTGAACATGAACCTGTCACCCCAGAACATGGCCTCCATTGAATTCAACGAGACTCATTTCCCTCCGGGAGGTACCATAGAATTATAGAGATGTCACACAATCTGATGCATGCAAATTCTACTGAATGTGATAGTGTGAGATTGAAGTGCAAAAGATAGAAGCATCTTGACCTTTTAAAATTCTCATAATTGGCTTTAAGATGCTTAATGGTGACTTTTGCCCATGTCAGTAATCTTGATTTCTTTGCCTGTTTTTAGTAAAATCATTCCTAACAGAAAATTTGGATTGAGTTTGATGCGTTTCATTCGTAAATCCAGTGGTATCAAAGTTAAAATGACCAAATCTTGCAAACTAATTCTTCTAAGATTAATATCATTTTACAAGTGGAAGGAGATGTTGAAGGGTTTTCTTCTTTTAACTCTAGTTTTTAGTAAAATACTTATCTAATGCTTTTCAATAAAATTTGGCATTTAAGTGTTATAAAACCAAAGGTGATTAATTAGGTGGGAACATAACATCTATCTCTGTATTATAATTATATATAGATAAAATCTGGTAACCCAGATCTTTTTCCTGCAGTTCAGGTGATCTTGAACTTTGTTGTTGCTATTGTTGTTAACGGAAGCGTCTGAAGGAAAAAGCTTGTGGTATAAGCAGCAGCATACCTCTATAAGCACTGCCTTCTTTGTACATGTGTTGTGATGTTGCACATAGATAGGAAACAGGTGCAGCTTGCATTGCAACCAGGAACATTATTTCAATATTTTGACGAAAGTGAGCATGTTTGATATCTGTGCAGTAATCTCTTTTTCTCTCTTTCCTTCACCTTCTTTTTTTCTTTCTCTCTCAAAACTATCTTGTTTAACTAGTACCAATGTTGAGTTATATCTTGCCCAAAACAATCAAAACAAGTACGAAGCTTCCTCAGGAGAAAAGCTTGCAGCTCTGGAGGGCTTTTTCCCAGGAAGTTTCAAGAACCAATAGGGCTACTATTTGGTTCATAATGCTATCAATGAGGAGGCCCCAAGTAGGACTTCTTCACATTTTACTGTGAAGCATTCAAGAGGAGACATCCCTTTGATCTTGATTGATTCATACTGTAGTGTGATATATGGTGCAGTGAGATATTGCTATGACTTAGAGAAACAGAACACTCTGCTTTCTCTCTCTCTCTCTCTCTCTCTCTCTCTCTCTCTCTCTCTCTCTCTCTCTCACACACACACACACACACACACACACACACACACACACACTTAGGAGCCACCTCTTTTCCAAAAACATGGCATAGCTCTGAGGAGGGCGACCAACCTACATTTCAAGGGATCAAGGGAACAGCAGAGGAACCTTATATTTGGTATTTGCTCATGAAACTTATACACGTATGATCACATATATATCCCATACTCTTTCTGAGAAAGGGACTGCACAGCTGTACAAAAGGATTAAGAAATAGTAATGAAAAGGAAATTAAAAGAAAACAGCAATAACACCATTACCTTTATTTCTTCCTTTTTTAAAATTCATGCAAATGGCATGGTTCCTCTGCAATTCAGTCCTAATTCATCCTGCCCTTAAAACTGAGGCACTTCAATATTCTTCTTTCATCTGGACCACTCATTTTTGTATTCAGTCCACATTCTTTCAGCATTTATTTATTCTTGACTGTATTATTTATTTTTAAAAAAATCACATATAATTCACCCCTTCCTCCCATTCCCACTGCATTCAAGTTATCTTTATCTCTCTCTTGATATATCCAACTTTTACTTCCTTTTAATAAAGTGGGTAAAAGCATATGTTTCATAATGACATCACATGGCTAATATTAGGTGGCAAAATATTGACATTTCAGCATTGCAGTTTTGGGCCAATAAAGTGGTGGTTAAGGGTGCCCAAGACCCCTGGCTTCTCAAACCAGAAAAAAACTGAACCACATACACACACTTCCAAGTAATATCAATGTTTTACAATAGTCCTCTGCAACCCACCTGGAATTTGATTGGCTGATTTGTGTCGTCTGACCCCTCACAATGCCCAATTCTATATATATGAAATATTTGTATGTGAAATATCAATATATAGATAATTTTATCAACAAAGAGACAAGGAAGACAATTTTTGAACAACGTGGTTGGAGTTGTTTTGCTTCTAACATAATTTCCTAGGTCCTTTCTTGCATTTCCTCCCCCTTCTCCCTCCTCCTCTCCTTCTAACCCATCAGTGACATCATCATATTTCTTTATGTTACATTACTTTACTGTAATATAATTATATAAAATGAGAAATCCAAGTTATGTCTGCTGCTGTCTGGGAGGCCTCATCAGTTAGGTTTTTTCTTTTTTTTTGTAAAAGACAGACATTTTAGGAGTGGTTGTTCTGAAAAGTATAGGTGGACAAGAAGTTGTAGGCTAGATTGTGATGCTAAATGGATGTCCTTACAATCAACTCAACTGACATGAAAAAAAAACCCCTAATTCAGTAAATCATCTTTTATTTTCTGGCAGGAGAGAAATGATAATTTATTTTCCCTGGGTAAATTATTTTCATATTACAATATGAAACGCTTTTACACTTGTAGTCAACTTGTAATTCTTGCTGTATGAAAGGAAGAAAGAAGGGCTTGCAGTGCACAACAGGATGTGGCTTGATATTTCCATGTATAACAGTTTGTTTTGAGCAGTGGTTATCATGGTACATGTTCCATTACAGTATGGAGGTTCAGTGATCTGTCATCCTTCCTGCTTTGGTTTTAAATAGCCATATATCGACACATCTCACCTCTGCAAGTGGTTCCTTGCCTGGCGCTATCACACCATCTTTTGCTTCACCCCAAAGCTTTTGATTGATGTTGCTGCAGGTGCACCAGCTGAAGACAAGGCAGAATGTTTCAAATAGAAAGTTTGTGGGGATTAGACGTTATTGCTGATGTGTTTTGATAAACAGAAAGGATCAATGATTTTTGGGGGGGGGTTGAGCTATCTCCTATGCTAATTTAAAAAAGAAAAGAAAATGTGGCCTCAAATGTTCTAGATTTCAGTGACATCTTACTCTGTCCTTCAGAAGACTTCCCTGTTGTTTGGGGCTTATTACTATGGGACTGTAATGTCCTCATCAGGTACATTTGCCATACATTTGCCATTAAGTGATAAATGGTAATACAGTTGATGTTGCTCGTACTTTGCACCAAGAAAATAAATGAATTAAAAGCAGAGAATATAGGCTACATAGCAGGGGAATACCCAGGTGTTTTTTTTAAAAAAAGAAAACAGGATGAAGTTGTCCCATTTCAACTTTCCTACAAGTCAGCAAAAAGTTTGTGTAAGTCTTGTTACATTTCAGTGTTGACCATCCTGAACCCAGGACTATATCTGAAAAATGAAGTAATAACCCACATGGGTTCATTCCAGCAACAAGAAGGTTGTCTGAAATTTAAAGTAACTCACATGGGTTTCTTTGCTCATATTTCAGATCTTGTTGTTGCTGGAATGTGAATTTATTCTATATTTAAATAACAAGCTTCATCATCACCCTGCAAATGTTGGGCATGATCTAGCCAATGAGAAGCATATCTTAAGTGTGATGGAATGTGCACCTGTAGCAGAAAAAGGGGAAGATTTTGCCAACTCAGAACATTCTCAAAGGGAGTCCTGGGTCAAGAAACTGTACAGTCCCAAGCTGGGACAGGGAAAGAGGTTTCAGGTAGGGGTGGGATTCTACCAGTTCGCACCTATTTGCTAGAACTGGTTGTTAACATTCTAAGCAGTTCGGAGAACTAGTTGTTAGAAGAAATTACTGGCCTAATCCTGTAAGGAAGGCAGGAAGGAAACATTCTGGTGTTGCTTGCAGAAACTGCTTCTCCATTAACCTTTATTACATTCTTGGCAGAACTAGACTTTCTGTCTCTGGAACTTCTCTGGAGTTTTTTTCCCCTCCTTTGCTGGCACTTTGCTTGTGTGGAGTGACCATTCAAAGTTACAATGGCACTGAAAAAAGTGACTTGTGACCGTGTTTCACACTTACGACTGTTGCAGCATCCCCACAGTGATGAGAGGCCAGGCGAGGAGATGCGTGCCTCGATGTGAGTGATGTTGAGTTGGCCATGCCCAGCCAGTCACATTACCACCAAGCCATGCCCACCAACTAAGCCATGCCCACAGAACCAGTTATTAAAAAATTGAATCCCACCCCTGGTTTCAGGATATACCTAGGTTAGAAGGTTATAGTTATAACTTGGCAAGATTCTGTCTTTTTGGTGTCAGCAAATAAAGGATTGGACTCAAGTAGATCTTACTGTTTCACCTTTGCATTTGAGTCTGAAACTAAGTTACACTGATGTCACTGAGACAGCATGAAGTAGAGTGCTTATTATCCTGCTGTAACAGCTTAGTATCAATTTTGTCCCCATTTTGTTTGTTTCCTCAGATGGTCTTTTACCATCACTGGTCAGTTATAAGAACAGGGGTTTTTTTTGTTAGTATATCTAAAGATACATCTTTATGAATGACATCCAAATGACTTCCTCTGATTCCTCTGATTCCATTCTAGTTATCAAGTGATTCTTTTGTTAAACTTTGAGCACTGCTACATTTAATGTATTGGTTGAATGTAAATGCATCCATTCTATTTGAGTTTGCTGCATAAAAATGACCATATACTCACACAAGTTCCTCCATAAAATTGCTTATCAGGAGCATCTAGATACAGAAGTAAGAACCCTCACATTTTTATGGCTTTGGATATTTTGATGGAAAATAGTTGTTCTGGAATTGTTTGAAAACTTATGGAAAATGTACTAAGAGGTTTTAGCCCAAAGTAATAGAAACTGCTGTGTTAGGAAAAGCCTAGTAAAAAACAACTCAGAATGCATGCTGA